CCCAGTTATCTTACAAACCCTCAAATTCTGGGGCCATCTGTTTTTCGAGGGGCTGCTCTGACCACTGATGAAGCACACTCTTCTAGTCCAAGCGTCTCCTCCCAAACATTTTCTAGACGTAGCAGTTATCTCAGGACACGCTCACGCCAATGCACAACTGCACAGTGCCAGACGCATTACAGCCACAAGTCAGACATACTACAATGTGATATGGTTGCAAACAGGGAGAGAACGATTTTGAAGCTGCACACTCCAGTCTTAGAGACCAAGTCCACTGTGCCCTTGTACAATACCAAGAGGACCTCACAGGCAGTATTATGTTCAGTGCCAGAGACAAAAGTGACAGAAAAAAATTAACTGTGGGTATTTGTTAATGTATTTATGAGTGACAAAGACTGTAACCATGAAAAGACCCAAATTTATACATGACAAACACTCAAGTTAGATACGAGGAATACCAGAAGAACAGCAACATACAAATAGAAATATGAGAGTGATTAAAATTCAAGGTGAAACACTGGACTAACTGAATAACCTATGATTTTTGCTATTATTTTCCTCAGTTTGAGCTTCATTCTCCTAGTTGTCACGAAAAAGGCTAAAATCCAGTGGATGAAACTCCTCAAATCCTGGACAGGACTCTATAGTAATTGAACCCCTCAGTAAAACCCAAGAGAAATATGCTCCTAAGACAGAAGTCTAAAAAGCAAATGCAGAGTCCAAACTCAAAATGAAAAGGACAGAAAATAACAACAATATCCAATCCACTGTGATCTATGAAGGTTCCTACTTAATCTGTAATGTTTACATTTTAACCCCTTTTTTTCCAAGAAGGAGCAAAAGAGTTCAGAGAGGAGAAAAAAAAAAAGGCAGAAAAAGGAGAAATGTCTGGAAACCATTTGTAAAAGAAAGAGTGAGCTTCTTGTTTAGTAAAAGAGAGCAGAAGAGAAAAGGATACTGTTTGGCTTTTATTTACTTTCTCTTTTAAAAAGAGGGCATCATTGCATGAAATCAAAGAGCAACAAATCTGAAACTGAAGCAAGAGAATGTTTTGATACACTAAGAAGAAGGTGGAGGCTGGCTCTGCATCACATCATGGACAAAGTGCAGTAATTTTTTTAAAATGGTATTTATACAGAACATAGAATCTCCAAAATTACAGCAGAGGGGCCTAGCTGCAAAAATCCATTGTAAGCACTGCTATTTCAAGGTGCAAACTGGATACAGGGGTTTGGAAGAAAGATGCTGCAGTGGCAAAATCTCCAAAACTAGCAAAGCAGTAAAGGTAATTAAAGAAAAAAATGAAATGCTCCCGATGCTCAGTTCCTCATCTCTGCTACTACTGCATCTTGTGGGACCTCCAGCGGAAACTGGAAACTATCAGGAATGCTGTAAAACAATGTGCTTTGTTGTCACAGGTCAGCTGCAGGTTCGTCTGAAGCTACAAAAAGGCCCACATGGGTATTCTTGAGCAGGGAGGGGATGAACCAACAGGCGGGAGAACTGCTGGACACAATGAGCACTTCTGGCTGGAGCTTTGCAAAAAATCGTAGTGAATATAAAGCTACGGTCTGACTGCCTAAATGATGATAAAAGGGATGGAAAATTCAACAGAATCTTTCTCTGCCCACACAAGCAGTTATATTTTCAAATGTGCTGAAAACATGTCACTCTGTAATAGCTCTGCTGAGCAGCTAGAAGTGAGGTGGTTATGGAAGTTGTAAAGGAAGGGGGCCCCTGGCTCTGCAAGAGCACCTCTCACTGGCACACGGGCTGGAAAAAGCCTTATGCTCCCTTGCTGAAGAGGGAAGGGTCCCTGCAGGGTCTGCAGAGCTGGCGCACGGGCTCCTCTGCCAGGGCCAGCCCCAGAATGGATAATGTCCCATACTGCCCCTAAGCTGAGGGATATCTTGGAGGACCATTTGGAGGAGGCTGAGGGATATCTTGGAGGACCATTTGGAGGACCTCCATTTGGAGGTATGGCAGGGAGAGTTTCCCATCAGGGAACACGGTTGCTCCCTTTCGGTGCATTAATTTATGGCTGGCCAGTAGAGGCCACTTGCCCCTTTTTCTCAGGCACCTGGTGCTACCACCTCGAGGAGGCTTGAGAGCCACCTGCCCAGAGCTGGCCTGGCATTTCTGACACCTACAGAGAGAAGGGGTTCAGGGAAGAGCAACAGAAATTGCCAGTAGGCCAGAGGGATGGATTTGTAAGGAAAGGTTAGGTGCTAAATTTGTCTAGTGCGGTATGGGATGACTAAGATGGGGAGGGGACATGCCAATATGTAAAACATGACTAAAGGCTTTTTTTCAGGCCGCCCAGCATGAAGTGACTCAGAAAAGGGGGTTCAAATTTAAGAGAGAAACTTATAATGAGTATCAGGGAGATGTCTGCTAGCGAGACTCAGGCTGAACCTCCAGCCTGCAGGGATCGCTCCCGGGGCTCTCGAACGAAGCGTGCGAGGCAACAGCGAGGAACGAGCGAGGAAGCCCAAATGAGCGATACCTCCAGCCCACTGCATCGCGTGGCTGTCGGCAGTAGGTGATTCAGCATTCCTGCTGGAAATAATTTCCAGTAATGGAAGCATAATGCCAGCAGGCCAGATTCACAGGGAGGCCAGAAAAACCCACCAGCCTGTGGCTTGTGCCCCCGCACCTTCCCTCTCCCTCCGCAACCGCGTCCTCCTGCCCACGCCACTTCCTGCAGACTTTCCTCTCTCAACACGGCCTGCTCTGTCCACGGACAGAACAGAGCACATCTACATTGTCACCGCTCACCTAAACAATCCAGGCAAAACAGTCCTTAAAGGAAACCGTGCGGGAGGGCAGGTGACAGCGACCAGGCTGCCGCAGCCGGGCGGATCCTGCAGCCGCCAGGGCAGGCTGCACGAGGGCTCCCTGCCCCGTGTGCCACCTCGCAGCAGCGCCGAGGCTCCCCGGCCTCCTGGCAAGGGGCCTTCGTGGGCATCACTGTGCCCGACCGGCGACGGGAGCCACAGTTGGCATCGCCCCTGCGAGAGGGCTCAGCCAGGAGGGTGCAGCGAGGGAGCTGCACACGAGGGACTGCACAGGAACGGCCCCCAGCACCCACCTCCTTAGCTCTTTCCTAGCCCAAGCTAACAGTAATTTTGCTGGGGAGTGTCTAGACAAGAGGCTGATGCTTATCGGGACTAATGCCACATGGGCAATGCTAGCCTCAGGTAAAGGACAGCAGGAGAACCTGGCAGACAGGCACAGGCAGGAAAAGCTCAGGAAGGAGAAGGATTAAAGGCTTGGAAAGGTTTCCCCCGCAGACACACTGACAAGCATGTCCACGGAGGCGAGGGGCAGCACAGGCGCTGCTGCCTACACCGAAGCACTCACACTAACTGCGGGGGCCACGGCGTACGTGGAGCTCGCTCGCTGAAACAGGACTGGACTGTGCACAACATTTCGGGTCTGCCACAAGGGAGGAACAAGGACACGCGTGACAAAACAAAGCAGCACATGAGACAGAAAACACACAAACTTTTTAACGGGGAAGTATTTAACCCGTGGGTCTCTCTGCCACATGGCTACACTGAAGCTAGAAATGCTCGAGGATGTTGTAAGGCTGGAGCCTTCCAGGGAATCCAACACCGCAGGGAAGCAGCTGCGCAACCAGCGTGCGGCCTCGCTCCTGCAGCCTTCGCATCCCTGTGTCCCTCCTCACATCCCTGTGTCCCTCCTCGCAGGCCGGGCACACAGCCGAGGGACGCGGCTCGTGGCCAGGCGCACACACACCTCCGTGCACGCACAGGGAGCGAAGCCGGTCCCACAGTGGCGCCAGCCCCGGGCGCTGACAGCGACTCCTCCTCACGGGTGTCCGCAGGGCCCTGAGCGCGCAGGCTGGCGGGGCGGCCGGGACGCGCGGGCACCGTGCACCGAGCCACGCCGTGCCGCTGTGGCACGCGGCGCCGCGGGCCCAGCCACACCGCACGGGGTGCCACGCGGTGACACGCACCGTGCTGCGCATCGCTGCCCATGCCGTGCAGCACCATGCTGTGCCGTGCAGCGCCGTGCCGTGCCATGCAGTGCCGTGCCGTGCCATGCAGCACCGTGCCATGCAGTGCCGTGCCGTGCCATGCAGCACCATACCGTGCTGTGCTGCTCTGCACCGTGTCATGCAGCGCCGAGCCGTGCCGCGCCACATCGCGCCGTTCCATACCGTGCCGTGCAGCGCCGCGCACCGGGCATCGCGAACCGGGGCCGGTGCGGAGCGCGGGCGCCGCGGGACACGCGTGTCCGCGTGGGCTGCAGCCGGGGGAGGTGACAGCAGCGGGTCCCGTCCCCCCCTCACTCCCGCCCCGATCCTCCCGCGGCGGCGGCGGCCCCGGGCCGGCCCTACCTGGCGGCGCGCGGGAAGGAGAGCGGAGCGGAGCAGCCGCGGCGGCCACGCGGCCTCCC